CTGGGCTTTGAAACTAGAATTTGTACCACGAAAGTACATGTACACTTGAAACTCCCTGTGCAACCAACTCTCATAAGCAACCACCTTTCCAAAACCAAATTTTCCCAGGCAAAGCCCTATACAGTTGGAAACGGGGGTGACTCCCATATGAAAGAGACGGGGATACTTGTTGTCTCGGTTAGGAGTGTTAATTGCAGACTAGTGTCTTACTCTGGTGTTCAGAAAGCTAAAGCTTCGGGCAGTCTATAAGAAAATAGTAATTCAAACTAAGGAAACTTTTAATGTTGTAATATATTAACACATTTTATCACTACTGACAGCGTTCACTTAATGAGTTCCGGGAATTGGTTACTTATTGTCTCCTAGGGTCAAATAGGACCTTAGAGACACCCAGATTTTTTGACAAGCATCCCCATACCTTTAATACAGGAGTCAAACACCCACCTCCTGCCTTCCAAGACAATAATTATTGGATCTACTACTGGTCACTTGTATTGTTTGCTTATGAGATTTAAGCAGACATATTCAGCCTGCTGTGAAATTAGCCTACAAAATACAGTCAGCTCTCTCGTAAGCAACCACTCTTGGTGCATGGAAAACTGTGGTCTCTTACAGGAGGTGGTCCTTTAAGGTCCGAAAACATAACAAAATAATTTTAAACTTAATTGATTAACAAACTTAGATATAAAATACCTTTTGAGCTAAAATTAGGGTAATAGACAACACTTTCAATACCTGAAACAAGTGCAATGCAGTTTAAAATTTGGTGGACATATTTTTATTGCACCGTAATTCAGACTGTAAAGTATTTACATTTTACAATCACTCAGACACATTCAAACGCATCTCGAAGAAATTTAGAATGCTCGATCGCGTTTGTGTTTTGAGCCTTTTAAAAGTCAACAAGAATATCAGACACTTATGTGACTTCACAGGATTATTCTTTGTCTTCTTTGCAACCCCGATAATGACAGTGATTGGTATACTCGTCTTTTCCTGGAAGTAAACTATGCACTGTTATTATAGTGTATTTGTCAGCAACCTGGTTCAGCGATCTTAAAAACTGAACATGTGCGACATTCGAGTGATTCTAGGAGGGAGTTGTCACTTAATTACATAGTACCATTCGCCTTAAAAGTGGTTGCAGCTGATTAAGAAATCAGACAACTGGTTGCTTGTGAGAGAGTTTTTGAAAAAGTATTTGAGTGAGAAACAAAACGGTTATTTACAAGAGGTTGCTTACGAGAGGTGGTCACCTAGAGAAGTGGTCGCCATGAGAGATAGAGTTGACTGTGGCATGATTTCTCTCCAGGACACTTTGTTTGACCCGTTCTTTATTCTGGACGGTGAACCAACTTGTTCCTTAACTCCATGCACCAATTTGTGCTACTTCAAAGTTTTGTCACCAGGTCTGTGCGGATATGTGTGAATGCAAATGTGGCTGGTGGCCTGTGCAAGGTATTGTTGAACAGCTTCAGTGACATTCAGTTCTAACGTCACCTCTTTGAACACTTCACTAACAGAAATCTGATGAGTAAGAACATTCAAACAAAAGCAACTATTAGTTACTATAGTTAATATCAGTTAAAGTTTATCACTAAATTTTCACTGAAAGAAAGAAAAATGCAATATTGAGGCCTTCCAAGGGGGGGGGGGGGGGGGAAGGGGTATGCTGTCGCTTTGTCAGTCATTTCTGAGACTGCCTGTTGCTTGGTTAGGGAAAATATGCTGCTGTTGCATTTTAGCTAGGACAAAAATGTCCCTGTCGTTTCTGCATAAATTTCAATTTGTGATACTCAAATTGGAATTTACCACAGATATGGAACCTGACAATAATTAATCACAATGCTCACTTTTCTACTTCAAGAAACCAATCAAGAACAATATTATGTTAATCTTATTTTTATTCATTTTTATTTTAAACAATATTTAGACAGGGATGCCCAGTTCAGCAAGGCTGGTCTGAATGGGACCCTGATGAAAAAGAAAAAACAACACACACAACAAAATAAAGATAAAAAATGTACAACTAAGTATAACGAAGGTAAGGAAAGCTCATTAGGCTTGGATCTAAAATGACGTTTTAGGTCAAACGCAAACTTATTAATATGGTGTTCACTCCTCAGGTCCAGAGAAAGTGCATTCCAGATCTTGGCTCCGCTGAACCTGAAGTAGCCCTAATACTTACTTGCCCTAGCTAGCAGCAGAAACTGACAGAAAATCTTCAGAAATAATGGAAGAGAGAACTTTGTTATTTTGCTGCCAAAACAGCCAAAATGCAAAAGTGAACAGACGTGGCTTTCACAACTTGAAAATGGATTGTCCCTGTCACAATATTTTCCTCCTTTTCTGCCAATTGTCAGTGCTTTCTAAGAGGATTGTCACCAGTTTTCAGGGTCATGTCACCTGTCGCTTCTACCCATTGCAAGACCTCAACACTAGATATTAACCAAAATTTACCTCTGTAAATCCTATTTTGTTGAACAGTCTTAAACTTGCATCATTACTACAACCAATCTTTGCTTCATATTTTTGGATTCCTAAGGTGGTGTTACCTAATGCCCAAAAGAGACAAGACAATATTAGACAAAACTGTTCAAAATAAAAAATATTAATGCCAGTATTCAGCACATGCTTTCTTTTTTGGTTCTATAATAACAATTTATTATACAATCTAAGTGGTCTGCTACCCATATTCAGATAGACAAGGCCATGAGGTTTATTTGAAAGTGTCAAAATTCTCACAGTGGAACCCAGATGGTTTTAGAGGAGAGTCAAGGAAACATTACATACATTCAGGCTTTCAACCTATCTTGAAGTGTAATGGAGGACACTCTTACCTCACCTGGCTGGCCAAGGTTTGAAACAATTTAATAGAGTCTACATCAAAAGGCCCGTCAGCAGAATGCATACCTCATGATCAGTTGTTCCATCATCCCCACTATTCAATGGTGGGATATAACAGAACAATTTACTAAATGGACAAAACACTTTACTGTTGTAAAACAATTGTACCAGCTAGAGGCAGGGGAAGGAAGGAAGAAAAATAAAGAGGTGAAGAAAGTGGTGGCTTTTCCAACACTTTTGATGGTGATTGTGGTTATTCCATTTTATTTGCTACACTAATGGTATTTTTTCAACATACGGTACCATAATGCATCATAGTTAGCAGAGCTTCTTTTCCAAGGCCATTTCTTCGACAAGATGGTTCTATATTTAAAAAGAAATAATAATTATTACACTGCTACTCACAGAATATAAATTATCCACACCAGCTACAGGCAAACAAAAATATCACAGCCCACATGATGATTGTACTATAAGGACACAGCAAGAATCGCCTAGACAACTTTATATCCTTTTATAGGTGGGTTGAGCATGGTTGTCTGGGTGAATGTAGACCTGCATAGGACTGTTGTTGACAGGGACTGACATTTTGACAACCCGTACTCTCACTGTACAAATGACTTATTGACGGACTCAAGCAAAACTAACTATGAGAGGACAACTGGACAACCAACAATTTGACTAACAGTAAACAACTGTTAAATTGTGGCAATAGACAGGTCAGAATCATTGCACCAATGAGATTTGAGTCTTCATAGCCAATAACATCACAGTTTAACTGACAGAGGACTAATAACATCACAACATAATTGATAAATCATTTCAATAACCAGAGTTTAATACCATCAACTGACATTACACCAGTCACTTTGACTCTGAAGATGACTGCCACACAGGTTGTCAAAACGTCAGTCACTGTCCACAACAGTCCTATTAAGGACTACGTTAACTCCGACGATCATGCTCAACCTACCTTATGAAATGACTCCTTAACAGTTGATATCTTTTACCTGCTATCATAATCTCTATCTCCGCCACGTCCCGTCTACTGTCATCAAGGAAGAGGTTAACATCACCCGCCATGCACTCTTTAAACAAAAAAAATATCGTTTTGATAAATAACTTTATTTAATCATTACCAATTTCACTTGGCCTATAGTCCTAGGGTATACTCCCTTATATGACCGATACGTGGATGTGCCGCTGGACAGTGTCTGGTTTTCATCCCTTCTATCCTAAACAGGGTATATAATTTTGCACAAGTCTGTCCTAAACAGCTAGTGTACATGTAAGTATTTTAGGAATTTTTTGTCCTAAACATGGTCAGGGTTTCAAACCCTCAGCAGCTCACCTCTACCCAAATACCAGTTGAGTACCCCCCACCCCCTGGGAGGGGGGGTGCATGCATAGTACACATAGTATGGACATTTTTTTTAGCATTCATCCTCAAAAGAGTATTACAAGAAATTTTTCAAACCTGTCTCTGTCGTCTCAGGTTGTAGCCATTTTCTTTTGTCCAAGATAATAAATGTACACTCTAAAATAAAAATCACTTCATCAATATTTTTTAAACCAAATATAAAGGAAACACTTAGGGCCAAATATTTAAACGAAGTCTAACTCTAGCCACGGTTTAACAAATCTTTGAACCTCCAGATCTCTTCTTTGGTGGGTTGTTTTAAGAAGATAAATGCTTTTCTAGTCTTCTCTATATGCTTCCATAAAACTGTCCATAATAAATGATGTTTAGATAAAATCGTTGGGCAAATTGAAAATGACTTAGAATATTTGTAGTTCTGTTTCTTTAACGATATGTATTTTTGGTTACTTGGTTTTTATTGCATAATTTTAGTTTGACGGCCACTAGTTATTCAGTTGAAGTACTGTCCCGTGTTACCCTTGTTAAATAAAGTTGATTATTATTATTATTATTATTATCATTATTATTATTATTATTATTATTAATGCAGTTTTGTTAAACACTGGCTAAACTACGTTTAAGTTTTTGGCCCTTGATGTTTAACTAGATATACATCTCTTTGTTCTGCTGGAGCCGAGTTCAGGAGGACACATGATTTTAGTTTCCTGAGTCTGAGCAATATGCTACTTTCAATTGCTTTCAATAATTAGATAAAATTTTGAGGTTTAATTAATAGTTCCTTTTTCTTTAACCTCCTCCCTGGAGATAACAATTATGTTTTGCTTTAGTGTTTTAGAAGCTTTCCGGGAGATGATACATTCACAGAAAGGACAATGTATGGGTTTAGTTCTCAGCAGTCCGGCTTACTGTTTTCATCCTGAAACCAACTGTTTTGCATGTCATATTCTTGTTCTAATGTAAGCCTTTCAGATGCTGTTTGTTCCAGCAGCTCAGGAGATTGCATCCAGTCATGGTATCTACATAAGGATATTTAAAATTAATTTCAACAAAAAGAACAGAAGATGTTAAGGAAAAATAACAATTTTAAAAATGTATATAACGTGGCAAATTGTCTTTTCAGCTGATCTTCATTTCCACTTATTTGCTGCGCTGTTTGCAGTGGGCGTTTTTAAATAAGCTAAGAAGCTTACCCTATTTGTCCTTCACGCAGTTAAAACCATAAAAATTACTACAAGAATAAATTTACAAACCTTGGAACATGTTCTTTCCTGTAGGGGACTAACACAACCTTTTCCCCTTCCAAAACAGTTTTACTGTTGATTCGCATCCCCAGCAATGCAGGCAATGCGAACTTGAAGTTTCATGAAGTTTACATGAAGCAGTAATTTTAATCGTGACGTTCAAGGTCAAGTCACGCGCTAACCCGCCGGAAGTTAACTTTTTAAATGCTCCGGACGTCATATTCACACTGTTTTTAAAATCGCTTCTTACTTGTAAACAGTTTGGAATAGTTCAAAGCTAAAATGCCAGCTGAAACCGAAACTGGCTCCCTGTATTCTGCACCAGTAAGTATATTCAAGGCAGCTAAACGTTTCATCATTGTGGGGAATCTTTTGCGCAACATGTTTTTCCCATTAACGTTTTTCTTGCGAGACACGCGGAACTTTTTTTATTGCACTAGTATGTCTTCGTTTGACAGTTTTTCGCTTCTCCTGTTTAAGGAGTTGTTTTCCATTTATTTGAAGATGTAGTGTTTGCTTCTGTACGTAAGTTTCGGATACTGAAGAAAACGAATGGTGATTTTCGATTTCGATAGAATCGAAGCCAGCTGCGTTCTTCTTCCCTGCCGGCCTCCAACGCAAATTAAATGCTAGAACAGTCTGTACTTTTTTGTCCTTTGAAAAAATTTAACTTATAATTCTATTTTCTTTTATTTGCAACCAGGTCGCCTTTGTATATATTTTCAATCTAATCATTGGAGTTGGAGCTTTGACAATGCCCAAAGCTTTTGCAAGTGCTGGTTGGGTTATTGCGGTTGTCCTCACTGGCGTTTTGTGTTTGATGAGGTTAGTTTTCCTTAACTTGGTTTTACTTCAACAAACATACATGTTTGTAGGTGTAAGGTTATTGAGAAAATAATATGTTTGCTGTTATAATCACTCATTTCAATTAGTATCTGGAGCACTAATGCCGGTATAATTTTGAGCATAATAATAAGATAAGTATATTTAAGCTTTAAAATCAGATGTTGTCAAATTAAAATTGAAGTTTTGGAAAAATGCACTTTCGTGTTTTTCTTTAAAATGTACAGCTGCAAGTAAGGCTGTATGTAGGAGTGTTTATTTAGTAGGTGCAGGTGGGAAAAGTTCCGTAGCAGTCTGGCATTTTTTATTAGTAGGAACATAATAACTCCAGCAGAGCATACTTTTGAGCATACGTAATACCCTCTGGTTTCTTGAGTGATCCAAAGCAACATTAAAATACCAGGCTACTCAATTTTATGAGCAAAATCCATAAGACCCTAATTCCAAGAGATAAAATTTATTGTGACTTTCATGTGACACAGGGACCAATTAGAGGGGGAGGGGCTGCCTTTACCTCTTTTTTTGCTTGGGATGATTTTCTTTTAGGACAAAAATTTTACAACTTGGATGACAAAGTAATATTAAGTGCATCTACTTTTGCACATGCACTTCCCAAAGTCAAAGTTAACCCTCCAGTTCCAAGAGTGAACAATATCAGTTTTCTCCAAATAATATCAATACATAATCAAGTAAGGTTATTAAATGAGAATTTATGAAATGATCACCACAGGAAAAATACTTTAATGTGTTATCAAATTATCTCACCTAATTCTTTACGTTGATGTATGGTGACTAGTGTGGAGAATTTGTATCTGGATATATATATTTAGGCAGAAAGGGTTAAGGGTGGGCAAAGCTATACATGTACAGTGTATGCAGTGGCAGCTTAATTCTCACAGGCTTTCATCTGGCTTGTTTATGAGTTATAGTGATGCATACCAATATTGAAGATGGCTCTGCTATGTTTATTGGGGTGTTATGAATGGCACACAAATGCATTATGGCAGAACAGTGACTGCAAATGCCTGTTTTTTGTCAACCTGAGTCTTTAGCCCTTCACCTTTTTAGTCCCAAGAACAACATACAAATTCTCCATATTCTTCTCCATACCTTTCCTTGAAGAACTACTAAAGACGAATTGTAGAAAGATCGAAGCACTTTCACTTAGGTGATCAGTTTATTTACTCTCATAACCTTTTTTCTTGATCATGTTGTGATATGGTTAGGAGAAAATTGGTGTTGGTCACTCTTGGGACTTAACCACTAGGTCTCAACAAAAGTGACTAAATATGTCTTTCTAAATTTATATATAAATTTCATGTGAATCACATGTGATACACCATATATAGAACCTTTTCTTTATTGTAAAATATTAACATCCTGAGGCGGCTCTAAGATATTAAACAGCAAACATTCCCCACCTTTTAGTCATGGAAAAGTAACTCTCCCAGTATTCCTATGTGAAAATTCCTAAGTAATAATCCTTTATGCTTTAAACTTCTCATCAGTGCTGTAGGTTGTAAACATCTAAAATTAGAGGCCAAAAATCCCTCAAATTCAGTTTTACAAATTCATGTTGCCAGACGTATAGGGGTTTTCTTGCATTTGCCTTCTTTGCACCCTATCATTTAAGATGTTTCTGTAAGCATCCATTTGATATTAAATATATTATCTGCTTTTTTAATTAGATGTACCTATTTCATTCAATTTTTTAAAGTGGCCATCACAATGATTTGGTGACTGGTAGGGTTGATTTGCTCCTCGAAATTTTGCCAAAAAATACCTTTGAAAGCTAGCTATAGTGAGCCATTTTCTGGTAACAGTAAAAAAAAAAGAACAAATTGCCCAAGACAACCATTAACCATAAGTTGAGAACTTTGAGGCCTTCTCTTGTAGATGCTAAATCAGTGCTAAATATTGGCTTCCAAAGAAAGCAAAATCTTTTATTTACTTTTCTTGCCATGTTTTTTTCTTTTGTTGGGCATGGGAAAAGTTTTGGGGGAAAGTTTAGGATTAAAGGATTAGATGGAAGGAGGTACACCCACGTAGTGGAACAAGATTTTCATTGGAATTTTTGGGTCATTTTTTAATGGTTTTTCACATTTTTCTCTAGTCTCCTTGATGAATCATGCTCATGCTGACATGGTTTTGATATCTCTTCTCCCTGCACTAGTTACAGCTGTAGCTGATGACAAAGTAATTTGTCCTTGTGGCTGTTAAAAGCTGATGACATCACAAATGGTACATTAGGGATGTCAATCTGCACGCTCCCCCCAGGTGTTTATGGGCGGTTCAGGGTTGAACTTAATTGGTTCAAAACATCAAGTGAAGGAAAACTGGGGTTGAATCAGTCACTGCGTTTGATTTTCACAGGGGAGAAGTCAAGTTTGGTTTGAATTACAGGGAATAAAAAAATAGTGTTTTAGAAGTTAGGCTGATTCTGCTGGATTTTTGTAGGGGAAATTACAACCAATTTAAGGTTTTAATTATATGGACTGTTGCTCATTTTAGCTAAACTTCTGCTTTTTTTTTCCTTTTCAGTTTTATAACAGCCACTTTTATGATTGAGGCAATGGCTGCTGCTAATGCTTTTTTAAGACTAAAAACTGAAGACAAGAGTTTATCAGTGAGTATCATATATGTGCAATAGTTGTTGTGTGATTACCCACGTAAAATGCATACATGACACCCTAAAGAACAACGCTTACACTGTAAGAAAAAATTTATGGGGGAGTTCAAACAAATAGTGTATTAATATGCATAGCCATGGGCAATATGAAATGGCAAATGCGTGGGCATTAGCCGAGGGTGAAAGAGAGAGGTGGAGAGGTGAATGGGTGAGGTGGGAAGAAGGAGGGCGGGTTTTGTATTCAGTGGAACCTCTATTCAGGGAACACCCTCAGGGACCAAGAGAAGTGTTCCCTGAACGGATCAGAGGTGTCACTTGAATGGTGGTTGAGCTGGGGTTATTTAATAATAAATATTAACCAAAAAATAAAGTATTTTCTTTTATTTTGCCTCAGAAGCTGCTGCTGTCAAGCAGCTTATAGATAATGCATGTTGTAGTTAATATTTTACATGTGTATCCCAGGAAATTTTTATGTTTGCTTTGTTTCAAATTCATTAGCATACATTATCATAGCCCAAAACAAAGGAAAAGTAAAAATTTCCTGAGATAAAAATTAACTACAACATGTATAAAAAATCATGATTCACCTACAGCTGTACATGTATCTCAGCCTGTTATGTTGTGTTAAATTTCCACAAGTGCAGTACATCGATTTCAGTGAAATAGATCAATTTTTCTGAAAGCTGTCGCCATTTTGACTTACATGTACTGATGAACACTTTAACTTATCAGTGATGTTTGTGGTCACTTATTGAGTGCTAGGGTGTCCCCTGAATGGAGGTTAAACCCATGTTTCAAGTCCCAGAAAAAGTGTCCCTTAATTTCCCCTGAAATAGAGGATATATGTGTCCCTTCCATAGAGGTAACAAATACAAAGATTTTGTTAACATTTTTCCGGCGCCAAAATTTGTGTCCCCTGAATGGAGGTACTGTCCCTTGAATAGTCTAGGACTATCCCAAGGGAGAGGTTCCAGTGTATTGCTCTTTTGAAGCAAATTCAAAGGTGGATCAATACACCATTAATTAGCTTAATTTTTCTGTTATGGTTTACTCCTGTAAACCTCTTTATGGTTGTAAAATCTCACTTGAAGTTTTTAATTTCTTCATTTTATGTGGCAGCTAGATGTCTGCAATGATGCCTGTTTTGTAAATACCTTGATGTTTAACTGCTGGCATTGTCTTTTTTGTATCATTTTGTAGATTCCCCCACAAACTTTATCCAACTCAGAAGAAGATCGACCACTACTAATCAGTAAGTCTAACTAGATGGCGCTTTCCTGAGTTGAATACTTTTTATTCTTTTCACAGCTGATTCAATCTCTGACATACCAGTAAGCTTTGAAGCCTACATTTTGTTACAAGTCTTTCAGAACTTTCCAAAGCTATTGAATTATTGGGTCTTTTGAAAAGTGTTCAGCCTGTGTTCAGAAGTGTTCTTGTCATACAAATACATCAGTATTATTTATTGTTATTTATTTTCTTTAAGATAATGTGAATGAGGATCAAGCTCCTGGCTTATATGATATAACAAGAAAGGTAGAGATGGTAAGTGGAATTAATATTATTTTAGTTATTTATTTATTTATGATTAAGGACATTTCCTAAGGTCTGGCT